GGGGGGGGGGGGGCGCTTCTTACATGTGCGGCTCTTTGCCTGCCATCAAGTTCTTCCACATAGTCTCCATCGACGTCGGCACGCCTACGAAAAGCACAGCACCATGCAATGACAGACAGTGATCAGTCTGCATGACTTGTGCGGCCATGCTCACGAGGGGGGTCACGCAGCTTTCGCCTCTCCTCTGCCGATATCTGGCGTGCGCCCTGCCGGCCGCCCTGCTTGCCATCCTTGGCTGCATGCTTGCGCCGCACCCGAATGAACTCCTCGAGGCCGACGAGGCAGACCACGCCGGCAGAGAGGGCGGCGACGAGGGGCAGCACGGAGGAGGCGGACTGGTCGAGGTTGGTGGTTGATGCCGGCATGATGTGATGACCGCCGCTCAATGTCAAGAACGCTCCTTGCTGATTGACGAGCCGCGAAAGATCTGCCAATTGGAAGTCACGGCGGAAAAATGAGCGGGTGGTGGCTTCCGCAGCAGCGGTTTCATGGAGCACCCTAGGCGGCCTGTCCCAACATGACACCACCGACATGCAACACAGACACGCAACACGCAGCACGCGGAGGGCAGAGGCAGCAAACAGGTGGATATGCAATGCGCTGCGAACGACGGCAACATACATACGAGCAGGCACACCGTTGATCTGAAAATCCGGGACGCTGACGGGCTGAGCGGATGAGTCGAACCATTGGATGGTTGGTATTGTGTAACGAGACTCGTGTCGAGACTCCACGCACTTGAACTGTGCTGCAATCGTCACTCACTGTCCACAGCCTAGTCCACCGAATGCCCCTCTGTACACATATTAACTGCCCTTCGTCGGCACGTCATCATCGTCAGGCACCATCTCTTCCTTCGTCACAAGCAGCCCATACTGCCTCAGAGCGTCACGCAAGTCCCTCTTGAGGGGCGCCCCACTCGCCTCCAGCCACGCACCATATGTCTGCATGGCTGCCTCCTCACACCGCCGCACGTCCTCAGTGCACCGCTCAAGCAATCTCGCCTCGTCGGAGCCATCAACGCCACTCGACTGTGTGTCGTGTCTTTGCTGGCTGCACTCGACCAGGATCTGGAAGCTCTCTGGGGCGACAGCTGAAAAGCTCTCGTGCCAGTAGTGCCGGTTGGCCGTGTCAAGCGGGTTGCCGTGGGCCTGATTGATGATCGATACACAAATGGATGCGGCACGGGTAGGGTGTCATCTGCATTGCTGTACTGTCCTGTTTCGTCACCTTGCGCCTCTCCAGCTCTTCAATCACTGTGGCCAGCCTCGACGCCCCTCGGGCATCCTCAGACACGAACCTCTGTGCGCGTGGATGAGACACACCATATCCAATCAATGACAGCAGTACAGCAAGTGGTTGTTGGTTGGTGGGTTTTGGCTACCTGCACGTCAGCTATCCAGGGCTCCACATCTTCCTCGGCCACTCTACGCGACACACGCAGCAGCTGCTCGTTGTCATCGCCGGCAGCCTCGATTTCTACATCCTCAGCACAAGCAAAGCATATGACGCCTAGGCATCATCGCATTCTTGCCCTGCACACCCACCTTTCGGCCTCAGTGTGAGTGCGCAGCAAAGGAAGAACCTAAACCCAGGAGCATGAAGCAAAGCAAGGTTGATGGTGAAAATCAAAGACAAACAGGTGTGGCACAGACATACTCGCCCAGGGCGGCCTCCGCCTTCTCGTTGACCACAAAGCCATGAGTCTTGAAGTCCTGCTCACAGCCAGACAAGCTAGGTGCGTTGCGTCCTCCTGGCCCCTGTATGCGTGCATTCATCTGACCTTCTCGTCGACGGCATTCAAGACTACATTGTACAGCGGAAGGCACGGCTTGAGCCTCTGGAGCATCGGAAAATGGACATCTTGGCATCTCTGCATCCACTGGGGCCTCCGCAACAGCTGTGAGCAGTGACGAGCACCTGAACAGCACACAGCATCAGATCTGCTTCATCCACGTGCCTGTTTTGCAGAGATCTGTCCAGGTTCATACATACATGCAAGTGCCAGCCATTCCGCCATTCCCCCTCACAGCAAAGCTCGCCAATTATAAGCTCGCATTCGGAGCTGCGGCAGAAAATTGACGAGGCTTCAAAATCTGCAGCTTCACCGTCATCTGTTTGCTGACCGATCTCCCCTCATGCATCCGTCAAGCGAAAGCCCTGATGTTGTCGCCGCGAATGGCGGCCACTCAAGCGTCCCTGCGGCCGAGCCCGATGCCCTGTCGCCGTGTCCGAACGTGGAGGCGAGGTTCGACGACCGCCCCTGCTGGTACCCGGGTGAGGTGATGGACATCCCGGTGTTCGCCAAGGACGATGACCCGGTGCCCGTGAGGTTTGAGGACGGCGGGGAGAGGAGCGTGCCTCTCAAGTGGATCAGGAGGGCACCCGTCAGCATGCCAGACCCCGCGTGGTACGATCATACACTGACTGCATCACTCACGCAGGCAGCGGATTGTGTTTGTGTTTGTGTTTCTCTGACTGTCTGTGTGTCAGGGCGCCCCAGAGTGGCGAGAGGGTGGAGGTGTATTTCGCGGCCACATCGGACGCTCCCCGTCACTGGATGACGGGTATCATCTCGCATGTCGAGGAGGGCTTCCACTTCATCAACTTCCCGCCCCACAGTGGGGAGCACTGCCAGCAGATGATCTTCGAGAAGGAGCACCTGCGGCCCGTCTACGAGGAGTCGCCCATCGACCTCACCAAGCTCAGCAGGCACCTCCAGCCCCTGCCAACAGAGCTACACAACTGGGCCGTGTCAGCCGATGGCCGCGCCTGCTTCCTGCAGGTGAGGGAGCAGGCGGCCCTGCTGCAGATCCAAGTGAGGGACGGCGACAAGCTCCTGCTGCTGGGCACCACCGAGGCAATCAAGCGGGCGGAGCTCATGCTCAAGGTGCACATCAAGCACCAGAAGGAGATACAGGTGTTCCAGGAGCGACGCGAGCGGCGGCTGAAACTCCTCGAGGAGCGTCGCGTCAAGTACGAGTCGAGCCTGACCTGTGAGTTCGAGGCCGACCAGAGCGTCGTGGGCGTCATGATCGGCAAGTCGGGAGAGAACCTCGCTCGCATCTCAAAGCAATTCGGGGTAAGGAAGGAAAGCAGCGGACAACAACACACTCATGACTGTGTAACTGTACTGCATGGCTGTCAGGTCGAGATTCGTGTGTTGCCGGCTGGTGCTGAGGGCAGCACGCACCGCATCGTGCGCATCTTCGGTGAGTCCAACGACAGTGTGCAGGCGGCCCGACAGGAGCTCGAGTACCTCTCGCACTCGTACCCCGTCGAGCGCAACATCTGGCACTGGATGCTCAACCAACAGGGGGTCTCTACCAACGACCTCAAGCGGAAAACGGGCGTCAAACAGGCCACGTACGTCACGAAATGCGACAGAGGGGAAGGCACAGAGAGATCATTCGCTGAGCGGTCGCTTGTATGAGTGTGTGCAGGTATGACGATGCCCAGCAGTGCGTGGTGCTTCAGGGCAAGAAGGCCGCCATCGACGACGCCATAATGCTACTCGACAGCCACAAGGAATACTTCATGGTCAGATACAGACATACATACATCAACACGCGGGACATGTGTCGACCCTGCAGGTGTATGAGAACATGAACAAAGAGAGCGAGGAAATCCAGCACAGATTCGAAGACGTAGGCACCAACAGCCACAGCTAGCAATCCAATCCCACTGCTTCCGTCCTTGTTGATCAGCTTGAGGTGCGTGCGGGCCCCCGGGGCGGTCCCCGTGGCCCTCGCGGCGGTCGGGGCGGCAGGGGGCGAGGTCTCCCCGAGCCAGGCGGCAGCGACGCAAGTGCTGACGCGGACAGAGGGGGGGCCAACCCAGAACACGGACATGGGAGGGGTAAGGAGATAGACACCACACAGAGAGGAGCCATACAACCATTGATCGACACCCTGTCTGAGTGGATGGGCATGACACGTGCAGGTGGCCCTCCCCGTGGCGGTCGTGGCGGCCCTCACTACGGCCCCAACCAGCTGCCGCTGAGAGGGGGAGGTGGACGGGGGAGGGGCGGGCCGCCGAGGGGCGGACACAGAGGCAGGGGGAGCAACGGCATGATGACGGCAGAAGGGGCAGCATGACTCAGCAAGACTAGACGAGGTGCCGGGTCATGGATCGATCGACTGTTCGGTATTTGTGTGTGCGAGGGCATGGGACGACATTCGTGCGACGGTTTTGTGCCCGCGAGAATGTGCTTCGTTCACCTGTATAGCGAGAGCTAGATGATAAGGGGAATAGTGCTTGCGATACATACGTCACTCTAAGTGTCTCTGGGTGGGGAGTCGGCTTTGTCATGTGCGATGTCTGTCTTGTGTGGACATGCATCTATCTCTGCGTGCCGTCTCACTTCTGCTACAAACATTGATGCCCGCTGTTCTCACTCATCGACACCCTCTCTTCCCGCCTGTCTGCTTGGCCGCGGACAGGCGGGCCGAGATGGTGGTGGTGGTCGTGTGCAGCAGGCATCAAGGCAGAAGGGAGCCTGGCCGCTGGTGACTTCGCAGGAAACTGTGCAATGAGTTCAATGCGTCCGGTCGACACTCTAGCTGGCAAATTGACCGTGCTGCCGTCTTGAGACTGGGGGCGTCTCAAGAGATTCGCTTCCTCCTTGAGTCGCAATCGGTGAGTCGTAGAGCACGTGTGCTGACGTTAGTGCCGACATGCCACTGTCCATTGTCTTTGCTGTGTGTCCGCGCAGGTCACTCCGTGCTTACAATCAGCCGGCTCTGAGTCCCCAATCAGTTGTCCGCAATGAAAGGCTCAACGGCGTCGGTATCGCCAATGGTTGGCCCTGGCCGCTCCCCTTCCCTGGAAGCGTGCCTGTGCTACTTACTGCACGCCATCAGCATACTCACCGCCCTGCTCATCATCGGCAACGGCCTCCTCGTCATTGTCTGGTACGTGTGGGGCCCCGTGCTCTTCTTCGTCAACTGGGTGGTGGCCGTGGCCCTCCTCTTCTTCGGCGGCCTCCTACTTGCGGCGGACCTCAAGTGTGTAGAAAGGATGGGCTATTTCCCCTTCCTCTACTCATGTAAGCAGCTGGTGCATCGATGGGATGGTCTCTGTCTTGCCTGCATACAGTGCGTGTGTGTCGATGTGGTGTCTTGCAGCTGTCGGCCGGGGCCTCTTCATCATTTTGTGCGGCCTGCTGTCGGTCGATCTTTCGACACTCTTCGGCATCGCTGCTGGTGGCCTGATCACCGTGCTGGGCGTCGTCTACTGCCTTTTGGGCGGGTGCTGGCTGCAGGGCTGCCCCAAGCCGCTGCTACAGAGGAACGAGCGGGTCATATGTCTCACCACGCACATCAACTTCATCGACTTCTGACCCGAATGCCGGCTCGCTCTCGACAATGTGTGTGTGTCCGTATGATGCATGGATGCGACTGCATGGCCACCGAGACCGTGTGTATGGACTGTGATCCCTTCTCATTCCATCGATTGCGGGTCTTTCCAGAATGTATCTCCCCCTCCATGCCTCCACGCAGCACTGGGGGCCCCTCCGGTGCATATGAATCGATTCTCTATGCCAAAACGAGCCCATCGTCGCTGAGACATTGCCTCACCTTGTCCATCAACTCACGTAGGCGCACAACATCTACACCCTCCCCCGCACCGCCCCTGTCTACCCGCCAGCAGAACCTCGTCGCAAACAGTACGACAAACTCCAGGTCTGAACTGGGACCACCATCCAAAAGAAGGCCGCTCTCATCATCTCCCCTGCCGCCCTTTGCTGCCTTGCCCCCAGGGAAGAGCGGTGTCCATGTCTGTCTCACTTTGGTGTCCGTATGGTCTGCGTGGGGCAGGTCTCTCTTTTTGAGCGACTGCATAATGGTGCGGAAAGCGGGCAGGGGGACTGCCGTGATGGGCGGTGGGGCGGGCAGTTTGTTAAGACGTGTCTCAATCGCTGCTTGGAGGCCCATCTGGAAGTAGCGTGCCAGGCGATGGCTGAGGATGATCCAGCGATAGAGGGGATACTGCAAATAGACACATTCAGAGGGGTGTCTAGTCCGGCATCCAGCGATCGATATCTCTTCCTATTGAGCCTTACCAGTTTCATATTGATCTTCTCGGTGTCCACCTTGGTTTGCAGTTCCTTCAGCTGGGCCTCACTCGGCCATCCAGTCCTGACCCGCGCTATCACCTCCGCCTCAAAGGCAGCCAGCTCATCACTGGAGGGGGCCCGAAACACACTCTCGGACAGCCCCGCTGCTGCTGCCGTCGGGATGCTCCTGATTGGCCTTGCACGCTGCTGCTGGTGTGACTGGTAGCGCCGCTCGATGGTCCTGACGGCGGCCTTCTGCTTTTGTTGTTGTCTCCTGGCCAGCATGCCTCTGGCGTGTCGCTGCAGCTTGATGGCTTCCTTCTCTTGATGCTTGTGAGTGCGGCGGTCGGCCTGCTGTGTCTTGATGCTGCGCATGTCCCTGCGGCGCAGATAGGCTCCCTGGATGAGCCGACAGCTGCATGCAAATACGGATGGAAGAGGGAGATAGGTCCGTGGCACTCAGGCTATGTCATGTCTCACCTCTTCTCTCGTCGCCTGCGCCTAAACAAAAACTGCAGCGGTCGGTTGAACAAACGAAGCGAGAAAGTGCATGGGTGTGGGGTGTGTGGTGTCTTGATGTTTGCGTGCCTGGAGTCTGAGTATGAGTACCAGCTGCTTTGCGGCATTGCGCTTCTGTCTGTGATGGGCCGTCCTCCGCCAGTGCCGCTGCAAGCGACTCGCGGCCTGCATGATCGATCCATTATCCATAGCTATGCAGGAAAGCAACCCTCTATCGGATACTGTCTCACTGACTTGGTTGCTCCTCTTCATCAGCTCGGCGCTTCTTTTGCGGCCCTCATCGAGTTCACGCTGCAGACTGCACACACAAGAAGGTCTGAGTCAATTACCGACCAACCAGGACTGAACTGTTTGCAAAGATGCTCACGTTTCAACTCTTGCAGCCGCCTCAGCTCTCGTCTGGCTGTAGCCTACACGCGCATCGGCCTGCACAGAAAGCAGAGCGTCTTCTTTCTCCTATATGTGATAGCGCTTCTTACGCTTCTGCTCATCTCTTCCTGCAGCTGCCTTAGTTCTTGGAGTCTCTTCCTCTCGGCCTCAAGCAGCTCCACACTGGTAACATAAGAAGTGCCTGATAGCAGAAACACACGCGTTGGCACGTATGTGCCGTTTTGTCTCACGAGGTGTAACTACTGGCTAACGCACCGACATTTCGTTCCTCCTTGCCGACCTCCCGGACTGCCTCGCGCAGCTCAGACACCTCAGCGTCCTTAGCCGCAAGCTGCCGACCCGTCGTGGGAAGAAGTTCATCGAATCTCGATTGATTCTCCCATAGCATACCTCTTTTCTCTCGACGTGGATGAAATCACGGTGAAGTGCAGCACGCTGCTCACGCACATTACGAAGGTCCGACGGCTGAAGGACAGAGGAGTCCATACGAATGATCCGTGTCCCTCTAGGTCCCAACACGGATACCTGTATATGGTCTGGCGGCTTGTTGATTCCCCATGAGCGGACCATGCTCGGATCGAGAAGGTGGACAACAGGCGTCCACCCACACTGGCCATCAAGGAGCTGACGCACCAACGATCGATCAGGATGAGCAAATGATTGCCCTATAAATTGTTTCCTACGGCGCATCTGGCATCGTATAGGGTGAGAGCTAGCTGTGAGGCGTCAGCCAGAGAGTGCAGCTCGGGCACAGTGTACCGCTGAGTGACAATGACACGGCAACACACACGCACAGTGAGAATACCGCATGTGTGGATTATCACCTTCATCTCCAAGTGCCCTCTGCGGATGGAGGCCTCAACTTGCTTCACAGACACACGAAACAAGAGACACATCAATCTCCATTGAATAGAGGAGTACGGTGTTCCCTCACCTGTCTCCTTTTCTCATCCGTCGGCATGGCCTTCAATGCTCTCAGCCAGCAATCAAGCCCATCGGCCCGCCGCCTCTGCAAGCATGTCTGCAGGTGCCGCATTAGCAGCGTGCGATCGAGAGCTGTGAGGATGCCGGAGGGCTGGATGGCATGGACAATGTGGATCAAGGCACTGGCCGGGATGACAGGCGACTTCAGTGCGAGAAGGTCGTCGAATTGGTGGGAGACTTCTGCGTATTCCTGTGAGCCCATGCACTGTTGGCAGATGCATGAGACATCCAGTCATTCAGGACACCAACACGTCTGCTCGACTTGATACCTGCACACACACACCTGCACGTGTCTGTCCAGGATTCCACCCAGCGCCATCAGGTGTGCCTTGACATCTGAATCGATGTATGAAGGACCTCTGCCCTCCGACATGGCCCCTGCAAGAAAGAGGAGAAAGTGTCTGTGTCTTGCAGGTCACAGGCTGCCTACTCGCCGTTGCGGCGTGGCTGAGATCGTGGCGCGGCTTCCTGGGCGAGGACGGCAGTGAGACGGACGGTCGGTGGAGGAGAGTCAGGAACTGCTGCATCAGGGCATCCTCACGACTCCTGGCCGCACACACACATCCACATGAGACGCGAGCCGCACCATGAAGCACAGAATGTTTTTTCAGTACTTGAGCTGTCGTCTTCGTTTCTCCATGAGTCTACACTCATCTTCTATTACCTCTGCCTCATGTTCGCAGCGCTCCATAGCACCCTGACCAACGCCAAACACCACACCAATCAATAGATACTCTCAATCTTGTCTGCCATACCTACCTCCATGTCTTCTTTGCTGGGCCCGAGCCGCTCCACCAGTCTGGGCTTTGGGAGGCCTGGCGGCAAAGGCCCCTCTTTGCCCGTCAGCCGCCGCACGTGCTCCACGCCGGGCGGCACACGGCCACTGTACATGTACACATCAGCCTTGGACAGCTCGGGGGCCACGCGAGTCAGCTTGTCGGCTCGAAATATTGGAGTGCCTGCTCGCTGGGGCGAGGCTGTTGTCGGCCGACCTCTTGTAGTGGACAGGGGACGGCTGCGTGGTGCGGGCAGAGATGGATGGATCGCATTGTAATGTTTGACTTTCTCGTCGGTCTCACCTGCTGGTTACGGCAGCAGGTGGAGTGGTGGGCCTCGTGGCGGCCAAAGGCGACGGCGTCGTCTGGGCAGTCCGGCACAATGCCTGCAGATGCAGATCAGAACAAAGAATCAGCATGATGCTCATCTGATACATGCATGGGAGATTGCTTACCTTTTTGTGGAGAGTATCCCTTACTGAATACTCTTCGTCGAGAGCACGCTTCGACCACTCAAGACGTCCTCTTTTGGTCCTCTCGAGCCCCCCCTCGCCCTCGATAGGCCTTATTGGTCCCTTATAGAACTGCACAAGGCTCATGGGCCGCAGGCCGTCCTTCTTCCGTCGTGCCGGCACTTTACTCTTAGTCTTGACAGGATTCTTAATGGCCAGGCGCCCCCCTCTTGCCTTTGGTGGAGCATTGATCGTCTCCGGCAGGGTGGGAATCTCAAGTGTGCGCACTGTTGGTGGCTCAGATTGCTCCCCCTGCGTGAATGGGCTGCGATCTGCCGTGCCAAGAGTGACCACTGACGGGCTCGGTGAGGCGCTTGGGGCGCCCGGGGGTGGAGCTGCCACTCGAACATGGTCATCATACATGTCCTCAAAGTCAGCCATTGCGCCGAAGGGAGGGGAAAAACTCGAAGCTTGCGAGACGCGTCTCAGGCCCCCACGCCCCCTGAACTCAGAGATGGCTTCCTCTGCATCTGTTGAGGACATCTGGCAACAGATGAAAGCAGCCAATGACACCACACTCAAACAGATCTCCGCACACCAGCACAGAGCCCCGACAAAGAAGGATACCGCGTTCAACTTCGGCAAGGCGCCGGCGAAGGGCAGCAAGAAGCGGCTGGACAGCTCCCTCGGCTTCCTCAAAGAGCTGTCGACCACACTGAAGCCCATCCAGCGGCCAGCGAATGAGCCGGGGGAGCTGGCCCTGCCTCCTCAGGCTGCCAGTGACGGCATCTGTTGTCACCCCGACCCGTCTGATGTGGTGGAGAGGCCGCTCGGGGGAGATGTGTATCCGCTGCACGACAACGAGGTATGCATGCACGCAGCTCCCATTGGAAAATGAGCGTGCGTATGTGTCTGTGTGTTGGTGTGTCAGCGTTTCCTCTTCCACCTGCGTCGTGATCTGAATGTCCTTCTGGAGGAGCCCGGGATGCCCGCACGGCTGGAAGCGATAGGGCGCATACACAGGGCCCTCTTGCTGGAAAGACAGCAGATACAGACAAGTGACCTCGGGCAAATGCCTGTGTGTCTGTCTGTCTGCCTGTCTGCACATCGATTCCACCCCAATTGATTTGATGGGCGCATGGCATGCAGGTGTGTATGAGGGTTTGGCTGACGTAGTGCGCCGTGCTCTGCTGCGTGGCTTCTCTGACAAGTCCGAGAAGATCCGCGAGCTCGCCATTCAAACATTCACCGCGTGAGTCAGATGATGGTGCCGCACTATCCCCCGATGGACACTCGTTGCCTGTTCTGTTTGTGTGAGTGGATGCAGCGTCCTTGAGGGGTGTGAGGATATCGAACCATCCCTGGCACACATATACCCTGGTGAGACGGGCTGAGCCGATTTCATGCTACTTGTCCACGGAATATTTTTGATATGGGCTGTGATGCAGTGTTGATTGCTCGTCTCGGGTCGGAGGATATTGACGGGTGAGTACCAGGTGTGCATCCACCGATACACGTCCCTGTCATGTGTGTGTGTGTGTGTGTGTGTGTGCAGGATGGCCCACTTGCCTGAGGTGCTCCGCCCCGTCAAAGAGCAAAAGCCACAACAGGTCAGATGTCATTCGTGTGTATGCGTGAATCCATGTGTGTCTGTCTGTCTGTCTCTGTGTGTGTGTGTGTGTGCAGGTCCGCCCCATTGAAGAGAGCGAGGAGGTGAGATTGGAGCTGTTCAACTTCATGCAAGTCGTCATCGCACGATCCACACAAGACGAGGTGTGCGCATGGGAACATGCCGGCATTCCTCCCAGTATGACTGACACATGTCTGTCTGTTAGGTGTTGCAATATTTGGATGAGATCACCGGCCTCCTTCGGTCGGGCGCAATGGACCCTTTCGACGGCGTCAAACTCAAAGTCCGCAACCAGCCATTACAGCCAGCACACACACACAGAGAGACAGAGAGAACTCCACTTCCCATGTTTTCTTTGTTTGTCACCAGGCATGTGAGTTGATGCGTGTGTTTTGCTACCAGTACCACCCCATTCTGCTGCACTTCGCCGAGCCCATGGGGCGGTCGCTGACATCGTGCCTCGTCCACCAGCACGGCAGAGTGCGCATGGCCGCTCTCGACACCTTGACGGCCGTGCTCTTCTGCGGTAAGGAGACTGCGACTGAGACATGCATGCTCTTGCGTTATGACGATCGATGATGCGTTCTTGGCGGTCCCCTTAAGGTGCGTGGAAGTACAACAATGAGATATTTGAGGTGCTCATCGGCCACCAGGACGAGAACGTGGTGCCCGTCAAGGCATTCTACGAGGCATACACAACGGTCAGATGGCAGCTCAGCGGCGCCCGACAGACCAGACCACCATCTGTGTGTGTGATTGGATTGTGTGTGCAGATGAATTACTTTGCCAAGTTGGTTGACGACCGCTCATCGGTGGTGCGGCGTCACTTCTACGAGACGCTCATCTACTGGCTGCACAAGCTGCCCGACAGGGTGGACCACGAGCCGCGCATCTTCCCCTACGCCATGTCGGGCCTATTCGACGAAAATGACACCATACAGGTACAAAGGAAGGCACTCACGGATGGATGGATGGATGGATGGCATACCAGGGTCACCTCACAAGGCATTGATTGCTGTCTGTCTTTGACGACCATCCCTATCAGTTGTGTATGTACCATATGTTGGAGAAGTGCGGAGAGCTCTATGAGGTGGAGAAAAAGGCAGACCTCAGGTAGGTAGGTATCCATGGCGCTCTCGTCAGTCACAAAGACAGCGTGTCGTGCACAGCACGTAATCAATCGAGGGAAGGAATGTCATTCATGTATGTATGTATGGATGGGTGCCCCCAGGGAGATGCGTCAGCTGGGCTTCCACCCCCCATGGACATATGACGTACGTAACGTACACCTGACGCACAAACCCATCACACCACCCATGCACCATTTCCGTGCTCCTTCCTCCTCAGGACCGTGTGTCCCTCCCCTTCCCTCTCGGTGCACGTCTCCGCCTTCCTGGCAGCACTGACAGCCCTCCCACCCCCACCACCACACCTTCCCCGCTGCCCTCTCACTCCCCCATCCAAGAGCTTTTGGGGGAGGGCTGGGAACCCCCGGCCACCACGCCCCGCCGTCCCAGGCTGGGGTCGCGCTGCTGGGTCAAGACGCACTTTCGCCGGATCGCCAAGGCGCTGTTCAAGGAGGTGCTGGACTTCAGGGAAGGTCAGTGAGCGGGGGAGTTCGGGGGGTGGAAAAGGGGCGTCAATAGTGTACGGTCGTTCCATGTAGCGACGGCTATGCGGTCTGCGCAGCTGCTGTGTGTGTGCCTGCCCTACATCGAGGAATCGGTCACGGAATACATGGTACTCTACACCATTCAGATGCCTTGTCGTGCGTCAGTCGCATGTTCGTCCATATTTCCCGTCTTCTTGTTCACGTGTGTCGTTCTGTGTGGCGTCCCACTCTGCCCGCAGGACGGTTTGTTCTCCTTGTGCGTGAAGCTGTTCTCCCCCTCCCGAAAGACATCTGCGGAGGTGCTGCAGGTCTACCACACCATCCTGCTGCTGGTGGGTGGCTGAGTGAGGGGTGGGTGAGGCGATGCCTGCACCGAGTGACCTTCCTGTATGTTCTGTTTGTCAGGCCGGTGCGTATGTGGACCCTTTGTCATATTGGCAAATCGCCAAGGGGGCATTGGGGGTACGAGCACACGGACATGGATGCAAGCGACATGATAGCGTGTGTGTGTGTCTCTGGTGTGACAGCTGGACTGTGTGTATGACTTTGAGCGTCGTGTGGCGTCTCTCCAAGTGCTGGCCAGACTCATGCAAGGCAGCGCCACGGCACTCGCGTCTGTTGGAGACCCTGTAGGGGCTGCACCAAACGACATGTATACGAGCCGAGCCAGCATGTACGCATGAGTGTGTGTCCTGGTCAGGGCCTGAAATGCGGTCGTCTGTCCCCTATCCTCGGCGAGCTGTGTCAGTTGCTGCGGCACAGTGACCTGCTGGATGACACACTCATCGAGGGGCCAGCAGCGTTTGGCGGCACCGATAACGACCCACCTGTTGTGGCTGCCGTGTGGGAGGTCGGGAGAAAGAAAGCAGAGAGAGGACACAGACAGCATGGGCGTGGCGTGACGTGTTCGTGTCCTCTGCAGTTGTTGGAGGCCGCTGGTCATCCGGCGTTGGTGGCTCACCTGCATACTGAGTGGCGGGATGAACTCCTGATGTGCGCCTTTGCTGCCACACCGGACGCGTTGCCCATGATGGGGGAGTCCGATGCACAGACAGACAATAAAGCGACAGACAGCCGATCGAGGAGGACACAAAGGCTGCAGCGGTATGCTATGCGAGACACCTGTCCACACACACGCAGTGCAGTGCATGGCTGACCAATCGATATGTGTGTCTTCTTCTCCTCCATCCATCCATCCACACAGGTACGTGGCGTCCCTGTCCCCAGCTGCCGCCCCTCTTTCCCTGCCATTGCCCTCCCTGCTGTCCTTTGCCCACACCCACTTCCCCGCCCTCCGATCCCTCCTCTCAGTCGCACCAATCACTTCCATCACACAGTGCGAGCAAGCCATCCTTGACAATCTGCAGTCCTTCACATCGCCCGCACACCTCAGCAACAGAAGGGCGCAGGCACGCGACGCTGCGATTGCCTTGGTGAGGCGGCTGGTGTGTGAGGGGGAGGCTGGGAGGGGGCGGGATGTGCTGGATGGGGTGGTGCTGCCTCTGCTGCGCCCATTGGACGATGAGAGTGCCGGCCCGACTTCGTGGGAGGGGTGGGCGCAGCTGGCTGTCTCGTCGCTTGGCAAGATTCGGGAGCTTATCGCTTGGTGGCCAGACACGTCCACCCAAGACGCACTGAGAGACAGCAGGTGGACAATGGGGGCGAGCAACCACCTTCGCTTTTATGTGTACACGTCCTTTCTGTTTCTCTCCCTGCAGGCTGCTTGAGGATCTCACTGGCCTGGTAGCTTACCACTGGCTGCATCTGCGGCTCTTCCAGGCACGTGTGGCTGAGTACCTCACGCAGCAGGGGAGTGCTGGCCAGGCCCCTGGTGGCCTCACCGCCATCGACGCCCTCCCCATCAGCAGACGGCGGCAGATGAGGATCGACGCCGCCAAACACGCAGAGAAAATACGATTGGAGGTATGAGACATGACGCACACACATACAGATGGATGGATGGGAGCCTGCGTATCTTGAGGTGTGTCTGGTCAGGCCGCCGTGACACTCTTTCTGGCTGTGCGAAGGCTGTCGTCCTCCGGCGGCTCCATCAACTGGGGCGCTTCCCTCGTCACCATGATGCTCGATGTGTTCCTCACCCCCCAGCAAATCGACAAACGCGCACACAACAAGAATCCCCGAACAAAGGAGCAGACCGCCGCCACAGCAGCAGCATCGGATGCCCCCACCAGCACCAGTGCCGTCAGCGGCACTCAGGAGGTGTCGTCCCTCACTCTTCCCGCCATAGCCACACCCCCCTCTGTGGCCATGTTTGTGGCCGTGGCCATGCGGCGCCTTCTCGTTCCCTCTTGGCCGTCAGACGCCGATCTGGCGGTGTTCGATGAGTGGTATCCCCTCAGTGGGCTGAAGGACAACGCCATGCATGCCGTCGCCACGTTGCGGGGCGGCAGGGTGAGGACACCGGTAGTGACGATGCAGCTGGATGTGCAGTCGCGGGTGGTGGACCAGCTGATGCAGTACCTGCTCGACCTCAATGTCAACCTGTCCACATACACATCCACCTCCTCCCCTCATGTCTCCTCGTCGGTACTGCCCACGTCGTCTCCCATGTTTGCGTTCTCTGCTCTTGCGCGGGATACCAAAGGGGCGACTGGAGTGTTCCAGCTGGCACTCACAGCGGCCGACAAGACCATACAGACACTGCTGAGTAAGATCAGACAGAACAGAACCTTGTGCGGCTGTCTTTCATGTCTCCTTGTTCCTTCCTTGTTCAGGGGATGAGACACCGGCGAGTGGTGAGAAGGAAGACAGGAGACGGCGAGCGTCCTCTCCCGCCCCATCGTCAGCGGCCGCCCCGTCGCCGCTAAACCTGAAGGAGACCATTAACAACAACGCCGCACTCAGCGTGTATGCGCTGCTCCTCGACTGCGCTTCCTGCTTCAGGGGTACATACCTACCTAGACACGCAAGAGTCAGTCAAAGTGGGGAGAGTCACAGACCAAGATTGGTGTGTGTCGTGTGTGTCATGGAATGATTGTTCAGATGCGTTTGTGTCGTGTGTGGATGGGTGGCGTGCCGGCGGCCATCTGGTGAGGGTGGACATGGGCAGGGATATGCTGAGCAGATGCGAGCGATGACCAGAGCAATTAGTTCATGGGATGTGTTCAATGGCACGGTTCAATGAGTAGGGCACATGCATTCATTCCACCGAACAAGTCTCATTTTTCTGTCCTCCTCAGCACGAACATGAAGTATATTGGCTCTCACAGCCGCTGTCTGCGACGCAGCCGGAGCACTGACACGCACACACAGGAAGACATGCATGGGCCAGAAGCACACAAACACACACGAGAGCTCATGCACACGCGTTCGCGCACGTGCACTGCCGCTCCATCCTTCTCCTGAGAAGACAACACAGCACAGGAAGCGAAGCATGCATAAATGTCTGTGCGTCGTGATCGTGTACCCACCGTGCTGCGCTGCTTCTGTCTTCCCACCGTGCTTAGCGTCTAGCTAGCTGTGTCGCGGCCGCGATGGGCTGCACGTTGGGTCTCTCCGCCAAGTTGAGGACGCCGGCCACGCGGACGTGCTCAGCGGCAATAGCCGCCAAAATCGACTGGGGATACTGCGTCATCAGCACTTCTTGGGGATACTCGTAGTGGTCGTACACGCTGACATGGCCGAATGCGCGCGTCTTGTACTCCACGATGTGCTTGAACCCTTCGCAGGGGCGCAGCGTGTATGGGACGTACGTCAGGTCGAGGCAGACATGCCACTGGCCCCCGCCCATGTTGAGCGCCCGGATGACCCCTGTCTTCAGACAGCCTACAACACAGACAACGCACCAATGGATGCCCCGACGCTTCCCCCGTTCCCCACGAACCTGTCTGCTGTTGCTGCTGATGCTGCACAACAACGGCACCGACATTCATGATGTCCAGCCTCACGAGGGGAACGATGAGCCGACAAAGGTCGACGGCGATGTCGCGCATCTCGGGCGTGGCCGCCTGGCCGACCGCTGTGATGCCAGCTTCGAGCTGCGCATCAGTGATCGTGCTGGGCAGATAAGGGTGACCCTCGTGGCGAGTCGGGTTGACCGCGAAGGTTGCGAAGCCACCTCCTCTGCCGGTCTGGGAAGGTGGGATGTACTGGTTGATCTCCTTCCGGGGCATACTTCAGAATCTGTAGTGGTCGCTGGCAGGATGTTGTTGTTTGCAGCCGGCAGGATGGCCGATCTTGGGCGTTTGCGCCGGACACCATCATAATTCAATGAAAAATTTCGCCGGCAATTCCGAGAAAAGGGTTGGCGGGAGCGGTTTCGCGCAAAAGGTGCTTAGCTAGCTCGCAGGCGTCATATGGGCGCCAAGCGAGGATGAGGTCCAAGCCGTCGCGAGTGCGCTGGTGAATCACACGAGGCAGCATTGGAACAGCCGGAGTCTCTTCAACATCGATAAAAAGGCCATCAGAGCTGATCCGGAAGCTCCCCTGCTTGCCGTTCCAAGGCCTGATGTGGGAGATCCTGAGCATCCAGCCTCAGGTCCAGCGCACGAGCCGGTGCCAGCTGCGCTGGAGGTGCCGCTCAACCCCCCCGCCGAGTTGTTCGGCCTCGAGTGCGCGGTGCGATTCGTGGAGCAGGGCTGCAAGAAGAAAGCAGACGACGGGAGAGGAAGAGCAACACAAGAGGAAATCGGTCAGCACATGCGCATGCAGACACATACACGCAAGCACGCGACATGCACTGACCTGCCCCACTGCACCAACTCCTTTCCTTGAAATGTGTGCAGGCAGAGAAGGCTATGTCATTTATCACGCCGCGCCGCCCGCTGACGCGTCCCAGCCCGCGACTATACGGCATGAGCAGCCACCGGCAACCACAGCGAAGAAAACGGGGAGACCAACAAACGACTTCAACTCGATGCTTCAAGGCGTTGGCCATCGCCAACCCCACGCTGCCGCCAACGAGCGAGGGAGCAAAAGACGGCAAGGCACTGCGCAACACAACCCAGGAAGCACAGCAAATAGGGCACGTGGCTAAAGGCAAGCAACTTTTCCGTCGTCCCAGTGTCGGCGAGGAGCTATGGATGGTGGGAGGACGAGGCGGTGATGTAGAGTTTATCCGCGACGGCAGCGGACACACAGTGGGCTCGACCTGGCGTGCTGCTGCAGAATTGCAACGGACACATGATGTGGAGCAGGGCGTGGCGAGCGAAAAGCGGGATGGGCAGGAAAGGGCACGTTTTGTTGAGGGCCCTCCCACCTTCGATGATTGCAGTGCGCGTGTGGGAGGGTGGGTGAGCGATGTGGGTAGGTAGCGAATGTCTTGTAGTTCCTGTCAATAGTTTAGATGTGAATGTGTAATCGACTTGGTCCCAACGCATGGACACCAGACAATCGACTGCCCTCAGCTGGGACTCCATACACTATCATAGACGTTACACATTTCCCCATCGCTCATCAGGTAAACAAAGAATCAACACAGCGGGCGATACCAGTGTCGCATTCATCCAGACTCATTCATCGCCGCATCACATGACCCTGACAGCCATCGCACAAGGCACCGAGATGAAAGTGAAAGCTTCTTCTAAGAATAACACGTACTGATAGCTTTTGCAATCATCCGCTTGCCGGCGTGGCGGCAGTTGTCGGTGTCGAAATCGTAAACCAGGCCGCCCACTTTTTTCAGGTCTCCCACTGTGACGCCTCTTATGGCCTGATGCTTCTGAGGGGAAAAATTCCATCGCTCCTGAGCCAGCCCCACCTTACTCGTGACGATTGTGTCGCCTTTCATATAGCCGTAGCCTTTCCCCTTGTGAATGAGCCATCCCTCGTTGCCGTAGCGTATCTTGATGCCCCTGTCGACGAGCGTGACGATAACACCGTAATGCTCACACGACTCACCAGACGCGCAGGGATTGCACGGTGGGTCTGCAGGTCGGCTGACGAGCTGAATGGTCTCAATCTCGCTTTCTTCAAGAACCATGACCTCAAGATGGCTCAGCTCATAGGGAGGCCGTCGACGAATGGGAAAGGACTGAAGCAGCCGACGCCATGGCTCCCCACATACGGAGACGGGCCCATGCTGCTGTGCCAGTGGGGCGTTTGCCTTGAATCGTTTCCTGACCAAGAACAAGCGCCGCAAATATGCTGCACTCTTTGTTGATATTCTCGGCACACCTGCATGGCTGAGGTAGAGAAGCAGCAGCTGCTGCAGATGCTGCTGCCTGAGCGACAGGTGCTTCTCGGCTCTGAAAGGTGCAGAGAGATAATGATGCAGATGCACAAAGAGGGAGCGACACTCTGACTGCTCTTCACCTCTTCTTCAGCCTTTCGACAGGGGTGCCTTTTTCTGTCGTCGCTCCAGTAGTAAGTATCGCAATGCAGGCACATTTCCAGCCTCATGAGGCTCCCGCTGCCAGGCGTGTATTCGTAAGGCAGCGGCAACCGTACCCCTCCCCGTCGCACGACATGTGCTGCGCAGCTCAGATCGTTTAGTGCTCTCCCCGTTTTCTTCGCTGCGGTTGCCGGTGGCTGCTCATGCTGTGTGGTCGCGGGCTGGGACGCGTCAGCGGGCGGCGCGGCGTGATAAATGACATAGCCTTCTCTGCCTGCACGCATATCAAGGAGATGCAGTCGGGGAGTCAAGGTTGCGTGCTTGCGTGCGTGTGTGTGTGTGTCTTTGCTGTGTGTGCGTGTGTGCACGTGCTGACCGATTTCCATTTGTGCTGCTCTTCCTCTCCCGCCGTCTTCTTTCTGCAGTTTACTGAATCCGGCATACTCGAATATCGCCGCGCACTCGAGGCCGAACAACTCGGCGAGGGGGTTGAGCGGCACATCCAGCGCAGCTGGCACCGGTTTAGGCGCTCGAACTGAGCCTCGAGGCCTTGCGGCAAGCAGGGGAGCATCAGGGTCAGCTCTGATGGCCTTTTTATCGATGTTGAAGAGGCTCCGGCTGTTCCAATGCTGCCTCGTGTGATTCACCAGCGCACTCGCGACGGCTTGGACCTCATCCTCGCTTGGAACCCACATGCCGCCTGCGAGCTAGCTAAGCACCTTTTCCGCGAAACCGCTCCCGCCAACCCTTTTCTCGGCATTGCCGGCGAAATTTTCCATTGGATTATGATGGTGTCCGGCGCAAACGCCCAAGATCGGCCATCCTGCCGGCTGCAAACAACAACATCCTGCTTGCATTTTGCGTTGTTGGAGAAATGGCTGGCTGGCTGAAAGAGGCGATACAGACAGCGACGACGAACGCGATGTCCCACAACATCGAGCGTGGCGGCCACAGCGCTCTGATCAAGAGCGAAACGACCACCAGCATCTCGAACGTCATCCTTCCTGCGGACGACGCATACGCGTCCATCAGCATGATGGCGAGCATCGTCAAGGTTCACGGCGTGAGTCCGGAGGCCCTTTCCGGAGTGGTGCAGGACGGCACGGCTGCTGTGCAGGCCTACGTGGCTAAGTCCAAGGTGCCCATCGGAGAGGCAGAGTTTGCCATCGCCTGTCAAACCGCCCTTTCCATCATCCAAAAGGACGTGCTGGGCGTCTTCGTGAGCTTCTACAGCATGCTGTTCCATCAGGCGAGGCCAGAAGGTACTCCACAGATGCATGCAGGATATCTTGTGCAGGCACAAGTATATCGGAAGGGTTCTTGTGTGCAGATGGGTTGTACATGTTCAGCGTTTTGGCGGCAGCTGACCCCCACTTCCCCGGCCGACTCATTGTCGACGTCAAATTCGGACACGCCAACTTCACGCTGCCGCTCAGCGTGCGCATCCTCACCATCACCGACAAGAAGAGCGCCGTATTCGGTCTGTTCAGCAAGACAAGCACGACTTCGCAGCTGGTGTATGAGCCCACCCCCGTCACAATGCAGCGGTTGGAGGCGGTCAACCTCAGCCTGCTCAACGTCCTCCACGGTGACACCCTCCGCGCGATCAAGGATGCAAAGGACCAGACGAGGGCCGTGCAAGACACAGCCTGATGGATGCGCGCGCAGTGGATGGTGGGGTGGTGGGGTGGATGGTGGATGGTGGATGGTGGGGTGGGTGGGGTG